TGTCCATCTTGAGACAAAACAAAGGCACTGATATATTTTAAGATCAGTCAGTGATCAGCCAAAAACGGGAAACTTTTTATGCGTTTTGCCTGTTCGTTTACACGACAACGGCGTTTTGGGGCATATTTTTGAAAACGGGTTTCAAAGTGCAAGTATTTGAAGACGCCACCGTTGTCGTTTCCGTGTAAACACCCAATACAGGAATCTTTGAAAACGGTGACATCATGCGCGTGTGCGTAGTACGTGTTAGGTATGTAGACGTGCAGTACGTGTCGATTTTAAAGGCAAGCGTGAACAAACATTCACAACAATAGCGGAGTACATGGTAACGTTACTGTTGTTGCTGCTCAAGAGTTTGCAAACGCTTCTTCAGCAAAGTGTGGATTTACTTCACCAATATTACAACCAACAGCGGAGACGCATCATATACAACATATAATCGTCACTTCCTTAGAGGTACTGTTTACTAACAAGGTGACAGCGCCAACTACCGGCCTGGCATACGTAATACAGCATTTTTGGCCGTTTTCGCGGATATGTGTAAACGCGAATCGTTTTGAAAACGTTGTCGTGTATACGTGAAACTTTTTTAAAAACACAAGGGAAAAACTTTTCAGTTTTTGACCACATCGTTGTCGTGTAAACGTAGCCTTAGTCTGGGACTAGGCTTAAGCCTTAAGTCTGTGAAACCGGGGGTAAGTCTAATAGATTTGTCAGCCATTTTCTCACCCATTCGGGTGAAAGCAACAATAAAAGTGAAAATATTATTTAAGACCTGTAAACACCAACACAAATATTCAGCATAGAAATTTGGTCCAATGATTTGGTCACATGATTTGTCTGCTTTAAACCAATGGGAGGGTCTGGCAGGGTCTGGATGAAAACACAAATCACTTCGTGAAATTAGGTGGCGCTTACGAAAAAGTGCTGCGCAACTTTCAGTTTCTGACGCCCGTTTGTCAAGGAGACACAGTATTAACATGTTTTATGTAAGAGCATAACTCTGGACATGTGACCAAATGCACAAATCTTACTAGTTGGCCAGTTTTCTTCGCAGTGTGATGGACAATATTATATCTTGCCAAAAATAAATAAATGAACAAATAAATCAAATCTGTCACATTGACAGCATGTGAATGTTCGTGTTGGTCCGAACAGACGTATTAAGAGCTGTTCATTCAAATAAAATTTTTTATCAATAGTAATGATAACAGACACCACCTTTAATCTCTTCTACTGATTTGACATTAATTAGCCTTGTGTGCTCTTGTATAGCACAAGACTACTGTCCTTGGCTTCAATCTATGATAAATATCTAATATTAGAATTGTTGTTGAAGGCATGTCGGCTTCTCTGAAAGCTGAGGGACCAGAGCAATCAGCAAGGCACAGCTAGAGAAGCATCCTTGATAACTTTGACAACAGAAGACCACATGGCAGGGACAAATGAGACTGTGTCGCACATGGGACGGACACCTTAGCTTTGTAATGAGGAGTCATGAGAATTATGGAGAGAACATAGAGAGGCATAAATAAATAAAAAAGGAGGAAACAAAAATAGAGAGTCACAGAGAGAGAAAGAGCAAGAACAATAGAGATATTCAACACTTCAGGTCCCTTATGGGCCATGGCATATGTGTACCCAGAGGCAATTTGTATTGCTCAGAGGTTGCACTTATAGCTCCAGAGACTTCATTGAGATGTCAGGTAATGTTTCATTTAAGAATATTTTCGTCTTACCAAAAATTCCAAATAGCACAACCGAGAGAGTTGTTGACATATAGCAAGAATGTGGAACTATAAAATGAATGTGCATTGTATAGTATTATGGCACTTTTCCACTGCGTGGTACGACTCGGCTCGGTACGGCTCAGTACGGCACGGCACGGCACGGTTCGGCTCGGCACGGGTAGTGACTGAGGTAGTGACGGTTCTCTCCGGCCAATCCGTGATCAGCAGAGATTACACGTCACGTTTTGGTAACGGTACGGTTCACTTGGAACCCCAACCGAAGTGGTACTAAAAAAAGTACCAGGTACCAGGTACTGTACCCAGTGGAAAACCCCCCAAAAGTGAACCGTACCGAGCCGTACCGTGCCGTACCATGCAGTGGAAAAGCTCCATTAGTTAATTGGTCACAGAAGACTAATGAAATCTTACTTTTGACTGCACAGTTTGAAACTGCCAGGATACATTTTGGAACTCTACTGACGCCACGTGAGATTACTATAGTCTGAGAAGCAGGAGACTTAAACAAAAGTCTCCTTTGCTCTCTATTTAATTTCACTGCAGTCTAACAGAGAGAAACAGAAATATTAAAAATATCTAATTTGCTTTTTTCTATGGGTAAGGACGTAAGTTTACTTTTATTCACATAAATGCATAAAGGAATATTATGGAGGTGTGCATCATTTGTGACCTATAGTCAAAAGCAAACATTTTTTTTTGTTTCCCAAATACTTCCCCTGTGCATGATTGGTCAGACAAACAGAAAGACACCCCACACACCCCAATCTCATGCCATTGGGAGAGGCAGTGTTGCAATGTCGGGCTGGTCAGTAAGCCAAAACAAATACAGCAATGTTCTGAAAATGCCTCAGAATCACAGTATTTACTAAAGGATTACATTTAGCTGTCTCTGCATATTAAACTAGGATAACAAAGCATTTTAACACTACGAAAATGAAAGAAAAACAGGTTCAAAAGCTAAAACCTTGTCTTGAGTTTAACATTTAGTGCCTCTGTACTGAAAACTGGGTGCAGTTTGAAACTCTGCAGAAGGTCGCCATCCACCTGACCTACTTTCTTTCGCTCTTTCTCACCCTCACCCTCTCCGTCTCTTTTTTCTTCTTTCTTCACCTCCTCTTTCTGCCTCCCTCTGAACCCCACAGCTCAGAGTCAAATCAACTCTTGCATGATTTGCATGACTCCTGTTCCAGACCTTCTTTCTCTAAAGCCCACTTGGCCCTGAACCGCAGGTGGCCAACAAACTCCCAATGGTGGCTGCATCCAAGAGCACTGAACACAGGATAAACAGACTGTCTCTTTCTCTCCTCATCTTCCGCCACTCTAAACCACCATGTCATGTGTCGTATATACGGTATTGTATTCCATTCTCATTGGGGGTGGTAAGGCGCAGTGCCGTCTTTCCCCCTGACGAGCTGGAACAGCAGAAATGGATGTGTGGCAGACACACTTGCATCGATCGAGAGGGTGGTAAACCCCTCCCCCCTCCGGTTGCAGATGGACCATGGCCCAGGAGCATTTAATTAAAGAGCATGTGAGAACAGCTCCCAGCTGCCACCTCCATGAAAGCTGAAACCTCGCAACGGCCTCGAGCTCTGCCCTCCCTTCTGACAGGCTCACACTAATCAAAGCCGCTTTCAGGACGCTCAACGGAAAGGACAAAATCGAAATTACCTCCATCAGCTATGGCAAAGAATGGGACGGCAAAGTCATTCACAGCAAAAAAACAAAACAAAAAACACACACATGAATATGATCAAATAATGACCAATGATATGCATAGGGGAACGGAAGGGTCGTCAGAAGCTTTGAATCAAGGCCACTGTGTTCTATGCAAATAGACAGCAAATTGGAAGCGGGATTTGCTGGGAGGCACTCAAAAAGTAACAAGAGTCTTACGAGCCATCAGTGAAGAACACACGCAGGCATAGTGAAGCACTGCTCATTTCCGCAATCTTTCTTATTCAAATCCACCTTGATTACTCTGTAGAGGTCTAGGCTGGCTGAGATGGCGATGCAAAAAGGGTAATATCAGTGATGGCAGGCTCTGACAAGTAGCACGGTGCTGGCGGAAATTTCCTCTGATGCCTAATTCATATTTGATTTGGGGAAAAAATGTTGGATCATTTTGCCTGAGATTGTCTGTCAAAGCCATTTTAGGTTTAAGATTTTTTTAGGCTTGCGATGACAACATGAATTGAAAACGTCATTTCAGTTTGCAAACTGGCATGTCAATGAAGTGGTGCCAAAGCATTTAAGCAAGAATTATTTTGGCCGCAATATAATTGACGACCTTTCCTTATGTCATCTACCGGATATCACAGTGACTTGGGCCCTATTTGGACAATAACGGATCTAAATAGAAACAATGTCATTTCAACATTTTCAGGAACAAGATTTTATCGCCATCTTATTCAAAGATCGGTTAAGACTGTGTATGCCTTCGATGACTACATGAATTGAGAATGTTGTTTAAATTTGCAAACTGGCATGTCAATGAAGAGGCGCCAAACCGTCTAAGCAATGTAAATTATGATCTTTCCTTATATCGTCCATATCTTGGTGACTCGCGCCCTATTTGGACGTTAACTGACTTAAATAGAAACACGAGGTAATTGCAATATTTTTAGAAATAAGAAAAATAAGAAAAAACGATCTTAGAATCAGATGGCAATAAAATCACAGACTTGTGCCTGGTCTGTGATTTTATTGCCGTCTGATTCTAAGATCGTTTTTTCTTCCACCACCCAAGACAAAATCCCCATATGAATTACCTACTGTTTTTTGACAAACACAAGGATTGTGTGGCAATTTCATTTCTGTCTGAATCAATATATCTGAGTTTACGAGGAAATTATTATGAAAATCTTTCCAGAGGACTACTGTTTGACAGCTTGCATGGTAATAAGAAATTAAATTACACTGTCGTCCCATCCCAGTGTATGGAAATGGAAAAAAAAGAAAGAAAAAAAGTCAAGAGATTAGATACCTTTACATTTGCCATTATAATGGCAGGTTATGCATAACATTGGATTTCAGCAGCCAAGATGGAATGTGTTATGTACCTGAGCATGTGTGAACCAGACTTCCATGTTCATCAGAAAACATGGCTATTATCACTCAGGCCCTGTGCAAATGCTCTTTTACATATGTCACCTGAGAAGCAATTACCATTTGCAAATTTAAAGTTACACCTGTTGTGTTATTTAAAGCAAAGTTTCCAATGGCATTTTTGTCATTTAATATTGTACTAACCGATCGTAGTTGTGAGAAAGGACACCTGCTCCATCTCCTTCCCATCATTGTACACAGCCAAGTGCCAGATGCCCGAGTCCATATACTGGATAAAGCCCGTATCGTGACTGGTGAGTGGCATCAGGCTCCTCTGCTGGGCTGGAAAAGGTGGACCCTCAAGACCAGGCAACCCTTGCGACAGGAGCCGACGGCCATCCAACAGCTCCACAAAGTCAAACTGGAGACAAGGAGAGACAGACAGACGACAAACAAGCATTAGGAATGACACATGAGCCTCCAGGAGCTGATAAGTCCTGCACGTTGGAGCCAACAGGAGCTGGTCTCTAAGGGCAGATTGAGACTGTGAAAAGGGGACTAATGCAAGGTGTGAAAGGACAGCTGCTAACACTGTACCAATTTATGCTAATATATGTACAATTTGGGATTTTCACACCTCAAACCCGAATGGGTTATCTGTCACCTCCTAAACAAGTATTTTTTGTACTGCCTTTCATTTGTGTTGATTTTAATATCCTTATTTATATTTAGAAGTAAATATTATGGCATTACAAAATATTACAAACATTTAATATAGTAATGTTAAATGTTTTAAGGTTTTTATGTTTTTTTTTTCTCATTATT